AAGAGCTGTTTGTCAAGTTAAATGTCTAGGAAAGCATTTTAAATTAAATTTTTTCCTTATTAGTTATCTGAACATCTGATTATCTAAAATTAACATGGAGTTCCCAAAGGAGATGATCTTCCTTCTCCATCCCTCCTGATGTTCATGAGGGGATATTAAAAATTTACATAATTCTTTACGGCTGTTGTTGGTGCCTCTGATAACTGCAGAATCGCCAAGTTCAGTTCAGCTGATTTGGAATCTCTGGAGAGAGCAATCACACTATTTCCCTAAAGGCACCTAGAAACTCCAACATTCCACTGTGAAAATTAAAACTCTATGGTTCTCAAAATGAATTAAGGCTATTATAACTTTCCAAATAGTAGTACTAGAGACTTCAGAAAATATGACTCTGCCAAGGATAATGAATCTAGCTCTCTCCCGTATGAAAAAAAAAAGTGGGCATATACAAAATAGGTATAAAGCCAATAAGAAAAATTATTGAACTAGTCAATATATAATCTATGCTCTTCTAAAATAATAAATTTTAGTGATTATCAGCTTATAAAAATATTTTATTGCTCTACCTTGACTTATAAAGAATAAGCAAAAGTACCAATTTTAACTATTTATCTACGAAACTATTCCAGGACTTAGAAATGCAAGCCAAAAAAAAAAAGCAAAAAAAACCAAAAAAAGACTTATGCATAAGGCTTATACATACTTACAGAGAAAAAGAAAACTCCATGAATTAAGAGTATAATTAGAGGCGAACATATAACTAGAGAAATCCCAAATTCACAAAGATGAATAATAAATAAAGTGATAAAACCATTCATTAGTAGAGTATCCTTTATGCAAACTGTCATGTAAAATTATAAAACCATTTCTAAACTCCCTCTACATGACAGATACTGCAAAAACAGAAAGTACACTATACTAAGTCACAAAGACATAAAAAATGGAATGTCAAAGAAATGTGACGCACTATGGTGAGATTACAAATTGTTCAGCAAAAAAATAGCACATGTCATTCCACATAAAGTGAGACATTTAAAAAATGTTTAAACATAACTATGCTTATGTACAGATATTTAAACGGGGCAAGGAATATTGCACTACTATACATAGAGAACTCTGTCTCCACTTACTCATTAGCCACTTAGCCTTTACAACTGACCTCCATAGCTATCATACCTCGTAAAGCTGCTTTTTAGAAAATACCCTAGGTAATATCCTAACCAAACCACATCAGCTTGGAGCCTTTTCTCAGTCCTATTACTCTTACTGTTCTGAAGCAACAGCCATTATTGACCATTCACTCTTGAAATCAACCATATGCCTATTCTAGTCTTTCACTCCTACCTACTACTGTCTTTTCTGGTGTCAAATCATTTCATTCTTTTTCCTTAACAATGGGGCATTCTTCAAGATTCTTACCTTGGACAAAGTTTCTTCTTTTTCTTTGTTGACTCTCATCCTCCTACCTAACTTCAAATATTATCTCAGGAAAATTGTGGATAACATCCAGATCTCTAGCTCAAATCCTCTCTTGAGAGTTAAAATAACTGTTAAATATTTTTTACCTAGTTTTGGTTAGTCAACTGATTTTTACTGCATAGCTCCTACATGCAAGACACTAGTGTTAGGAAATGTATTCAAAACCTAATAGGAGAGTCCCTGTCATCAAGAAGCAGAGAAGCTAAAAGGCAAACTAAATAGTCCAACACATCAGGTCCAAAACTGACTATTCATTCACGTTTCCTCTTCCCGTGGATTAAACAGATATTTAAAAGATCCCACATTCTCATTATTGCCCAGGCAACAATGTATGACTGCTTTCTTAATTCCATATTCTTTATTGCAATTTTCTATTCCCATTGCCACAGGCTGGTTCAGGACGGTATATATTTTCACCCAAACTGCAACAACCACCTTCTGAATTATTCTCCAGTTTCTCATCCAATCCATCCTGCACTCAACTGACAGATTAATTTTCCTAAACCACAGATGTGCTCCATCACTTACCTATAAAAACAGTTTAACAGTCCCTCAATAGACAAGTCAAGCCTAAAAACTTCGTCGGCTTGGCATTCAAGGTCCTCCATTATCTGTTCTTTACCTATTACAACTTTTTCATCTCTGTCACCCACTATTTCCTTACCTTTTGCTCCAGCCAAACATGGTTATTTAATCATATCCTGAAACTGTTTGAATGTTTCTCTGTATCTTCCTTTATGTCATTTCTCTCCCTCTGCTCCCATCCTGATTAACAGTCTCTGTTCATTTCTACCTTTCAGAAGCTTAACCAACCATTAGATCAAATAACATCGTTTTTCTGAAAACTCCTCTCCATCCTCTGAAACTATAAAATATGTTAATGTCTTTTGTATCACTCATACTTTATTTAGTTATCTGTGTATTTGTAAAAAAATATATACATAAAATAACAGCCATGGTCCATAAGACTACACAGGAAGTCAGTTTCCTTCACTCTCTTGTGGCGAAAAATCACTGCCACGACAATATCTTTTTAAAAAATCACTGTATTTATTTCTTGAAAAGACATTAAAAAGTGATTTTTCCCCCTACCACTAATCAGTATACCCCTTATGTACATATGAATTGTTATAATAACTTCCTTGGCTTCGAATATAACATTGCTTCCTAAGGTTTCAGTTTTACATTATAGTACGTACCTACTGATCACAAACTAAACCACTGAAAACAGCAGTGTAGAAGGAAATAGCTTGCCTGGTGGCTGCTCCAAAACCCGTACCTCTGAGACAACCCAACTTATTTTTTTTGAGAGAGAGAAGAGCAGTCATAATGTAATTATACTTCTCTGTTCCCACTTCCTTCACATCTCCATCACCTCCATAATACCTACCAACCTAAACGTTTGTTCAGAGCCCATACTTTCAGGTTCACAAGTTGAAAATAACAGACAGGTTTCCAGTTCAACAATTAATTCACCAAAGATTTACTGAATACATACTATGTGGTAAGCACTGTAGAGTACTCAAAAATTCCTAAGACACAAATTTCATCTTCTGGAACACATGATTAAATGCACAACACACACACCTTAACAACTCCATTATAAAGCAGATTACGTAAGGGCTATAAAGCTTCCAGCAAGGTACAAACAGAATGGTAAAAGGAGAGAGAGTGCTTAATCAAAGTATATCTGACAAGCTTCAAATGAGAGAGAGATTGCTGGATTTCTATTTGGGGTTTCTTTGAAATCAAGTAAAGAATTCAAGATTTTCAAGATTAATTATTTTTAAGTAAATTATTTAAGTATTTTTTCACTGGTATTGCAACAGAATGGATTTTTTTCTACTGAAAAGGTACTGATTTAACATGTAAGTTAAAATTTTAGTTAAACAGACTTTTTTTTAGCTCACCTTGAAACATGGGGAAATATATTTTATATAGGCCAAACTTGTGCCTACAATTAAGAAGAAAATTTTTGTTATGTTCAAGGGAAAGACACAATGTGTCCAATAATCCGAACTAATATTTATTTAAAATTCTACTCCCAGAGAAAGACTAGATACATATAAATGGGCCACCCGATTTTTACAGAAATCTGTCAGCATACCAATAGTACATTAAAAAGGAAAAAACTGAACAAGTGAAAATAAAATTCTGGGACCTAGATTCACTTTTCATTCATACCACCTCCTCTTGTAACAATGACCTCTTCCTCATATACGGCCAAAGGTCTGAATCAGAGCTTGGAGCATTTGTTTTTCAAGTAGGCTCCATCGACACCAGATACTTCTTTGAAGATTCGGAGTTGCCATGACCTAACTCTGTACGTGTTGGGCAATGTATTGACAGGTGAAAGGACCACGCTCATCTCAAGCTTAAAATAACTTGCAAGGAAGGGGTGGGAAAAGTCCAAGTTGACAGATGCCAATGTAGCAAATTTTAAAAAGAGGAAACTATGATAGACAGGAATGGAAGCAAACTGGGGAACTTGCAGAAGTATGGCATTCCAAATTGCTACTATTTTTTTAAAACTTTCGTCTTTTAATTACATTACAGCATCCAAGAGACGTTTCTGCAATTACTGAACTTAACAATTAAGCAACATATTATGAAAAAAAATTTAGGTTTAAATTACATGCAGTTTTATAAAACATATTTGCTTTTAAATATCTCATCCAAAACTCTTGATATTAATGCGAAAGAACTAAAATCGGATTATGGAGATTTCGACAAGTGAAGCTGGGAAAGAATAACTAACATGTAAGTTCGGTAACATGTTACAGGCAGGTTGCAGTTTCCCTGCTACAGTAGACAGGCGAAGGAACCAAGAAAATGGGTTGAGCACAGGAATATTGCACACTGTAGCCACCCAACACTAATTCAACAGCTAGCGGGCTCTATCCATCCTCCCTCACGTTCCTCGTGGCCTCTGACAAGTCATCCTTTCAACCTATGAGACTGTCCGCTCTCCCCCACCGAAAATAATTTCCGTGCAGGTTGTAAAATCTCCCGCACAAACTACTTGCTCGCACCTCCTCGCCTTGGGATGGGCAGTCCCCAAGATGGGGAAAGGTCGCCCTGGCAGGGAAGTTACGTGAAGTGGTCTTTCTCGCGGTCCGCCCCGAGCCTCCAGCCCAGCAGCCGCGGGAGAAAGGAAACGGGCGGCCTCCGAAGAAACCGGGATGGGGCAGCGAATGCGAGCCCGCGAGGCAGGCTCTGTGGTGCCCGAGCACTGGCTCGGGCAGGAAGAATGGAGGAGGGGAGGCGAGGCAGCGAGGTGCCCGAGAGCCAGGCGGGCGGTCCGGCCCCGCGGCCCGACCCCACCCCGCCTCAGGACCCTCCCAGCCCACGGACTCGGCGTGCGTTCCGCGTGCGCCGACTCTCCCCGGAGGAAGAGCCACTGCCTCACACCAGTGGATTTGAGAAATTCGGCAACTTTGCGCGAGAAACGCTTCCCACCCTGCAACACGCCGAGAAAGAGAAATATGTCAGGCGATGACGGGGGAGGAAGGATGACTTACCCATGGTCCTCCCAGAGGGTGAGGAGCCGGCAGGGCGAGGCGAAGGTCTCCGGTGCGGGCGGCGCGGCGCTGTGTCCTCACTCTACCTCCGCCTCTCCTGCAGCCAGGGAGGGACCCGCGGGGGGCGGCCGCCGGGGAGGAGCAGCTACTGCTGCCGCCGCTGCTGCTGCTGCAGGCGGCGCGGCCGCGGCGGGGACGAACGGCGGGGGGCGGGGCGGGGTAGGGCGGGGCGGGCGGGCGCAGCCTGCGGCGGGCGCGGCTCCGCGGGCGGGAGGCGGAGGCGCCGAGCCTGCTGGAGCGGCGTCCGCCTAGACGCGCGGTCCGGGAGCGCCCCGCCCTCCCCACCGAGCATGCTCAGTGCTTCCCTTCCCCCCCACCCCGGGGCGAGAGAATCTAAACGTGCTGGTGGGCGTGTGTTTGCCGGCCGGCTGCCTCCGACGCGGAGGAGCTTGATGGCGGCAGCTTGAGGGGCGGAGGGTGAGCCTCGGGAAAGCTGGGCGCAGGGACCCTGAGCCCGAACTATTACCCTCCGGCTCGCTACCTCGACCCCACCAACCCACACCCGGAAAACGGGCCGGTGTTTATTAGGGGGCAGCCCGGGTGCACAGGCGGGAATTTCCCGAAGGAGGAAACGCTGGGCCTCCTCAAACCTGGGAGGGTGGTCGGAAAGCAAAGCGGACGTCCTGAAACAGACCTACTGGCGATGAGGCCAGTGCCTCTGGAGATAAGACACCTGGGGACGCCCGTTTTCAGAGCAGCCTGTGGGCTCGTTGGGCGGCCCCTGGGAAGGCGCTCAATATTAGCGGGACAGTTAAGACCAGTTTAAAAAGAGAAGTCCGGGCAGCGAGAGGAGTGATCGCCCCGGGATGTCCTCGGAGAGTGTGTCGTTCTCCTTCCTAGAGGAGTGCGGCCTTCCTTTCCCCGGAGGACACCTGAAAAGCCAAGTAACGAGGGTGCCCTGGCCGTCGGGCTCCACCCTCCTGGGATGTGCCCAGCTGTGCCCGGCTCCCTTGGAACGCGGCCGGAACAAGGTCGCCACGGTGAGAAAATAAAAGTCCGCTGAGTCGGTGCGGCCCCGCAGGGTCCGCCGGCTGGAGTTTCCTCGGTACGCGGAGCCGCCGCCCGCTCCCGACATCCCCCTAACTGCGGGGAAAACCTGAGCCGCGCGCTCCCTTTTGAGGGCGCCCTCCCAACTGGGCATGCGCGCGGGGCGAAGGCTGGTCTTGGGTCCTCTACCCTGGGGGAGGAGGCTGGGGAAAACCTTCCATTTCTCCGCATCCTGGTCGTGGCCTGAACCCTCTCTGGTGGCTGGGGTGAGGGATCAGGTCGCTCTCCCGAGGCAGCAGCAACTGCAGTCCTGCAGGGGAAGGGGCGCCGTCAGCAGCACAACCTGTGAGAGGGAGATGCTGAATAGCTCAACGGAAATTCCTTTCCCTTTTCAACTTTTGCTCTTTCGACTCAAGTGTTGAGAAAAAGGTGCCCCCCGCCCTTCATCCGTGGCCCCTTTTAACAGTCATATCACAAGCACACAAGTCAGAATAGGCCTTGTAATGCGTTGAGCAGACAGCCGATTTTCTAAAACAAAAAGGAAACATGATAATAAAAAGGTTTGATAAAATAAGAAAATACAATAGAACTACAGAAGTGAAAACTGTTAGACTTTTGTGATGCCCAAGATAATCAGGCTCTTCACTCCTACTATACTGCTTTCCTTTTTGTGATATAAGAATGCTCTTGCTTTTTGCCTCAAAATAGTCTTACAGAACAGAATTAGTTTCCTAGGGCTGCTAAGTACCACAAGCTGGGTGGCTTAGGACAACAGAAATGTATTTTCTTACAGTTCTAGAGGCCAGAAGTCTGAAATCGAAGTGTGGGCAGGCCCGTGCTCACCCTGAAGGCGCTAAGGAAAGATTTCTTCCGGGCCTCCCCTAGCTTCTGGTAGGTCCTTGGCCTATGGTAGCATAACGACAGACTTCACATGGCATGTCTGTTGAAATTTTTCTTTTTTATGAGCACACCAGTCATTTTCGATTAGGGGCCCAACTACTCTAGTATGACCTCATCTTTAATTATATCCGCAGTGACCCTATTTCCAAATAAGGTCACATTCTGAGGTACTGGAGGTTAGGACTTCAACGTATATATTTTATAGGGAACGTGAGTCAATCCATAACACATACTGATGCAAGCTACACACATACACCCCCGCACACACCCCACCACGTTCCACTTTCATTTTGGACCTCGCCAGAAGACTAGACCAGCCTTGGGCCTTTGTATCGCTGCTCTTCATTTTTTGTTCCTCTCTCTTTCTTTAACCTTACATTAATCTCTTCCAGATTCTCAAGTTCATTTGCTTCGTCTTTCCTGCTACCTTCCTTTTGTAGTTATATATTACAATAATTTCTAAGAGCATCTTTTATATTTTGTTTGGATGCATAAATTGAAACTAGCAAAAGCAGCTGAAGACGTTTTGTGACCTCCCACCTGACACTAGTTTAGGTGCCTTCTTTGCTCTGCTCGAATCCACAAGACATCCTCTCAGCACCCCTACCAGTTAAAACCACAGGGCTGTCCAGGCAAACTGCATAGTGAATCCCAATGCACTGCTGTGTAACCATAGTGAGACCCAATACTGACTGCAACATGCAGATGTGGGCTGGTATAATGCCTACCCCTTTCACACTAGTTCCCCTCCCCTTCCTTGTCTTCTCCTGTCATAGGAATGTCACAGGAATATCTTTTTATTCAAATCTTATCTATGTGAGGCCTTCCCTAGCCATTTTATCTAAAATTTCAACACTAGCCCCACTTCCATACTTTATTTTTTCCTTACTACTTATCACTAAAATAATACATATTTTGCTTATCGGCTATCACCCCATTTAAATTTAAGCTCTGGGCTTCCCTGGTGGCGCAGTGGTTGAGAGTCCGCCTGCCGATGCAGGGGATGTGGGTTCGTGCCCCGGTCCGGGAAGATCCCACATGCCTCGGAGCGGCTGGGCCCGTGAACCATGGCCGCTGGGCCTGCGCGTCTGGAGCCTGTGCTCCGCAACGGGAGAGGCCACAACAGTGAGAGGCCCGTGTACCGCAAAAAAAAAAAAAAAAAAAAAATTAAGCTCTCCAACAGCAGGAATTTTTGTCTGCCTTATTTGCCATTATGTCCTCAGTGCCAGAACAAATGCTCACAGAGCAAATGCTCAGTAAAAATCTGTTGTATGAATGAAAGTCTTTTCATTCAGAGTTTTTGTCTTTAAAAAGCAAGAATGGTGTTAATATTCTTTTTATAAACTCTAGCACCTTACCAAGTAAAATTAGTTATGCAATAAATATTGATGATGATGATGATGACAGCTGCTATCTGTGTTGTTTCTGTCTTAAACTATGATTCTAAGATTCTAAGATATGATTCTTTGATTAGAAGATTCTAAAGAATCTTCTAAAGGGACTCGTTTTTGTACTAATCTATTCACTCATTCAGTTAATAGAGATTTATTGAGTGCCTACTACGTATCAGGCACTATAGTAGGCATTAGGGATAAAGAATAAACTATGGTCCCTGCTCTCAAAAAACTTATATATTAGAAAAATTGCTTTGATGAAACTTCCAGTCATTGATCACATAAATAGCTAGAAAATATACTCCTGATGTCAAAAGAGTTTTCCAGAATAAATCTACTAGTTCTCATGCTCCAGGTTAAGCAATGCTCAGGATTTGATTAGGCCTGCTACAAAGTGAAGGAGGAAATTCTATCCAGAAACACCTATATATTCATGAAGTATCAGATTTATTTGTGTATCAAATTATTGTGGTAGGGGGTAGGTGAAGAGAAGTATCAAGGAAAATGTTTATTAGAAAGGGTCATAAGCACTATATTTTGACAAGGTTTATAACAAAACTTACCTCATTTTTGCATGTAAACTTCAAAAGGTTAGAAGGTGCTTTAAATTCTGTAAAGGAAATGCACTGGGAGGGGCAGAGCAAGAGGAAGTAGAAAGAGAAGAGAAAGAATGTTCTTTAAAAGAAAAATAGGGAACTGATTGCCTCTTCTTCCCCATGATGTTCTGAAGAGCATTTAAGGGAATCTCACTGGAGTAGTTAACTAGACTTTGCAGTGATAAAAAATGATTTGTCAGTGAACAGTCTTCTGCCTAAATTCTATAGTTTTAAAAGGCCTCAATGAGGTTAGGCTAGTCCAGGTTGAACAACTGAAATATCTTAAACCCTAGCTCACTGTAATCCTATCCCACCCCCTCCTCTCATTTACTTCCTATATTAACCATTTTCTACATCTTATGAAATCTAAATTTTCTTTTTTCATAGTTTGTCACCTCAAATTACCAATGTCTACATATTGCAAACAATTATAGGCCTAGATTATATACATTTTTTATTTGTTTGCTTTGTTTTGTCCACAACACAGGGCATGTGGGATCTCAGTTCCCCAACCAGGGGTGGATCCTGCGCCCGCTGCATTGGAAGCGCAGAGTCTTAACCACTGGACCACCAGGGAAGTCCTATATACATTTTTCAGATGGGACGAAGCACTTTGCAATCAGTCAAGTAGTTGCTGAGCATCTCTTCTGAGCTCAGCACTGTGCTAGATGCTCTAAGAGATAGGTATAGGTATGCATCATGCAAAACGAGAGTAGGAACAGTCTATTTTTAAAGTTTCTTCCTATTAGAAAATCGCCTAAATCTGTGAGTACTAACATATAAAGAACACTAGTCAAAAAAGTCAAAGATGGCTTCATAAGATGTGTATGGATAGAATTTTTCTGAAGATATTATGAGAAGAAAGGAATCTATTCCGAGAAAGAGTATGAGCTAAGGCACAGAGATGTCATATTCATAAGACCATAGAAAGGTACCTGTTGAGGCATATTGGGAAATAAGATTGAAAAATGTAGTAAGAGGGACAGATTGTGAGGGCCTAAAATAGCCAAGCAAAGGAATTTGAACTTGATAAGGTAGGAAATAGGGAACCATTGAAAGTTTCTGAGAAATGGAATGTGGTGAAAACAATATAGGGGGCAGGAGAAGGAGTAGTAGATTTAAAAAAGCAATACTTACTGAGAGCATGTGACATTCTGTCTAGGAGTTAGGTACACAAGGGTGAATAAGAGGGTTTTGGCCCTCGAGGAGTACAGTGGCAGAGACACAA